CCTTCGGTGTATAGGACGCAAGCAAATTTTGACATCAAATTTTGGGGTAAAAAAATGCATCTTATACACCGAAAAATACAGTAATTAATGACAAATCATTTAGTCACTTTTATGCAAGCCAAGATATGCAGAGCTCAGCCAGTGTTGAATAAAAACATTAACTGTATTATGCTGTCTAAACCACTACCATTCAGGTTTACTGGATTATAATGTTAATATAACAATAATAAAGAGATATTTTCACTTTTAGGTGAAATCCTAGTCAATTTCTTGTGTCCATTTTACATGCAAGAAAAACAAAACAAAGATCAATATACAAAAACAAAAAAAATATTTTTTTTATTCAAAACTTCAAAAATGTTTTGATGTCTGTGGATGATATAACTGTTTCATTGATAAAAAAAACAAAAAACTCACCTTTACCCATACCAGCTTGTGAAGGGTATCTATTCCCAGCATTTCCTGAAAAATACAAAACTTTTTTTTTCATACATAAAACTAAACTAAAAGGTAAGTACATGATGATTATCTTTTCATTTCTTTAAAAACAAAGTATCAAAACATTACATTTTTGAAAAAGATGAAGAGTTTAACCTTTGCAATCATAAGAAGCATTACACACAAAGGCTTAATATTTTAACACTATATAGTGTATGATATTAGAAAGTAAATGAAGAAGGTGTTAATACCTTGCCCAGATTTCCAGCATATAAGCTAAAGTCTGCTTCAAGAGCTTTGCGTGGAAACGATGGCAGCTTCATCAATTCTTCATGTAAAACCAACACTCTTTGTAAAACCTGGTTAGTTGTCTTCAGAACGGATACTGTCATCAGCACCTAATTAAGAAGTCACAATAACTGATGAATTCACATCAAAATCAATACTAATAGTATTCTCTCTTTAACACTTGCAAAAATGCCTTCAGAACATATGTGGTTAAGGAAACTTCAGGCTCATGTCACTGTTAGTAGATATAATTATTATCTCCCCCCTCCTAGAAAAAAAAAAATCTCAAACATTTGTTTAGATGGCCATCAAAATACTATATTGAGTCAAGTTAACTTATGAAGTTGAACCACTTGCTTGGATGTCTTCAGAACAGATCAATATCTAAAAAATCAAAATCCTGTTAGTAGATACAATAATACCAAAAGCAACAGTCTCTCAAAACCCATGTTTTCATAACACATGGCCAACACCATCTTATTATCACTTTTAATGAGTAATATTACACCAAGGAAAATACCCAGTTTTAAACTTCACTGAAAAATTTTAAATTAACTCAAACCTCAATATCAGACATTGGAAGTTATATATATTACAATACATCTAGTGTAATAATCATTCTGGAACTTGGTTGAAATACTTCTAATGGAACACATCTTTAAGACTTAAATATCAGATCACGGTTCATCTTCTAGACTTTTTAATCACAAACATATGTCTGTGTAGTATTGATTGGATGTATTTAAAATCAAGATCTAATTACTAAATAAACCACACAGATGATCTGTACTACTTTTCATCAAAAATAACTTTTTCCTAATGCAGTGCTTTATAAACATTTAGATTTTTCAGGTAATACTAACTTACTAATTATTATGAATTTGATCAGGTTTTTAATGGGAAATGTTATCAATGCAATAACTGTTATCACATGCTTAGTACAATGGGATCTCACTCAATTAATTCAAGCAAGCATCCTGAGATTTATAGATAAAATATACTTATGATATATGACAATAAAGCTATAAAGATGAGACAGAATTACCCTTTGAGCCTGCTTAATCAAAAGAATGTAAAATATTATGCATCTATACTGACTTTCAAAACATGCTGGAGAAAAGTTGGTCTGCATGTCCACATGTAAATTATTATGCAGCAGCTCTCTATCAATAGAAGCACGACACAACCCCTATCATAACCAATGCCCTCTCCACATTTGCACTTGTTAATCACTTCGACATTGGTCATAGGTCAGTATCTATCAGAAATACATTTTCAATTTAGGATAATGTTAACTACTGATACAATATCTTATCTCTTCTAACAAAATAGCTAGAATCCCACATTGAACTGGTGGAGGGTCACTGAAAAAATGATTCCCCTTCAGGAAGCGCTCAATGAGAGACCATAAAGTGTGGAACCAAAAACGAAAATGCTACACCTCAGATGGTAGTTCAACCTCATCCAACACCTGGCAGCATCTGGAATTGTACATCAGTTCCACAGTAGGCAGAGGATCATCTACCTATTCACTTTGAAACTGGAATTGGTAAGGAAGACAAGCTTCCATACCAAAATCTGTCTCCACTTGTGCACATTTCCAACCCAACCAACACCTGATTAACCATGAACTGAAATCCGGCAGATGGTAGAAAGGTGGAAAACCCTGGTGGGATGACATTTCCGGTCCAAAACCAGCAGCATTGGGTATATTTCTTCCAGTTTGTCGTAGGAGGAGGATGCCTGACTGTACACAAGTGGGAATACATGTGCTGTGTCCAGCTATAACCAACACCAGATCTGCATTTTCCATTCAGTCTGTGCTAGTAGGAGGAACACTGGCTAGAACACCTGTGATGACTTACTTAGCTGGACCAACTGCAACCAACATCTGACCCCCAAGGAACTGCATCCAGAGGATGGTAGGTAGGAAGAATATTTCAGCCTGAGGGGCAAACTGCAATATACACGTACATGGTGGAGTGCTTCAACCAAAACCTGGTGTCATCGCCATATGATTCAAATCATGACCAGGCCATCTCCAACTAACACCACATTCATCAGGAAAGTACATCCGAAGGATGATAGAAAGGAGGAATGCCATGGTGGGGAAGAGTAATCTGCCATATATATATATAAATATGGAATTGAGCTATAACCAAAAACTGGAATTCTACATCAGGTCAGTGGTAGGAAATGTGATATGCCATCAACACCCGCAGAATGCCACCACCCTACTTTGAGTGGTATGATGCATCACTCAGAACGACACGCCTCCATGGTCCACCACCCCAGTAGCTAGGAAATGGGAAGTGGCAAGGACTCACACACTCTACTAAAAAAAAGGTGGTCATGAGCTGAATGGTCATAATTGTGGGAAATGGAGGATAATGAAATGAGAGAAAAGGTGGAATTACCCTCCCAATCAGCAGAAGTCTTGGGCAAAAATGAACAGTCAGGGAAGAGGAGAACTTAGGAACTGTGGAACACCACATAGCAAACATTAATTGCAAATATTTTAGAATGCCAATAATATGAGGAATATGGATTTTAAGGAAAGGTGATACAGGGCAAAGACAAAGGTTCGAATAGAGGATGAGTGAGAGTGTGAAGGACAACACTGAGATTTCAATCTGGAAAAGACACAGGGAGGACGAGGATGGGAAAGGGAAAATGAACAAAATAACAAAAGACAACACAAGAGATTGGAAGACAGAGCAAACTCAGTAAATTTGAACATGCAAGATAATGCAGACTGATAGCTGGCAATCGAAGAAGCCGACAGTCCCCTATCAAAGAGCCAAGTGAAAAATGCATTCAACTGTGGTAGGAAAGGTAGTGAAGGATGATATACTCGGCAGAGTGATAAGCAGCAGAAAGTATACCTTTTACACTGATAAACTGCCAAGGAGGAAGGACATACAGGATGGGCAATCAATGAGGCAACATGGCTGAAAAATCTGGATTGTCTGGCGAGGGACCAGACAAAAGCCACATGTGAAGCCAGAGGGTGGGAATGGACAGATGATGTATGCCTGATTGAAGTTGGTGAAAGAGCATGGGAGACAGTGGCAAAGGAAGGGAAGGTGACACTGAAAGTCTGAGCAGAAGAGGAAACCATGACTGAGCATGCCAAAATGGACCCATCAGGAGCACAAGACACAGAGTGGTCTGAATCAATGAAAGGACCCAGAGAAGAAGAGAAATAGAAGGATATGCATACAGTTTTGACTGAGAGCATCTACAACTTCTGTTAGAGGATGAGGAACAGGAAACCAAAAATTGGAAAGTTGTGCATTGAAATGTGTGGCCACAGCAACTACATCTAGAAAACCTCAGTGAACAAACAACTCTCAAAACACCTGCGGATCTAATAACTGCTCTGTTGAGAGAATCTTGTCAGGCCGAGATAATCAGTTTGCAAACAGATTCAGGGCACACGGAATGTTAATAATCTGATATAATGATTGTGGGCCCAATAGAGGACATACAACATTCAGAAACAAAGATCTCATGACTGGGTACTCCCTTGCCTGGTGATATAAGACACTACCGTGGAATTGTCGAAGTGGACCATCACCAAATGCCCCCAAACATCCGACAAGAAGTGAAGCAGAGCATGATGAACTACCAGCAACTCCAAGATGTTGATATGTAGGGACAAATCGGCAAGTGTCCAACAACCTGAAACCTCTTGAGCATTGAGATATGTACTCCAACCCAAAATGGAAGCATGTTTAAAAAGATAACAATCTGGTCGAGGAGGTGGAAGAGAAACTCTGAAGGCAGTATTGGTCCAATCCAACCACCAAGTGAAGTCAACCTGTAGGTAGGAAGGCAGGGTAATGGGAGCATCCAAGGGATCCCAATAGAGGGCAGTACTGATCGAGAAAAGCTATTTTGTAAGAGGAGGTAATATATCTTATTAGAACTAAAGAGTTAGCCTTATCAAAAAATCAGCTCACCAGAGAGTTTGTCAGTTGCCCAGTCTTAGTAGTTCAAAACAGAGCAAGATTTTATTCCATGGTACATTTGTTTCTTGGATCTTAAAATGTTAATAAAGGTTTATTCAAAATATAAAGAATAATGAGGTAGTAAGTATAAAAGAGTTTAAGGTTTATATACTAAATAATGTATGATATGTGAAATAAGTTTCACAATATGTTTTCACATAAGAATTGATATCTCTACATATAATTCTTCTTCCACACAAGTTGCCTTGAGTTAACCAACTCTGTGGAGCATACAAGTTCTTTAAACTAAATGCTATTTGTGATAACGAATGTGACTAGGCTTTTCCCACTTCATAATAAAGGCCCATTACAATTTCTATGTGTTCTTAAACATTTTTTTATGAACTGGTTCTGTGGTATTAGTATATGCAAAAGAGAGCAAAAGGTAATATTCACTGCCATTCTTTTATTGATGGCTATATTTTTAAGTTACCTTTCCTAGCTCCAAGAACTTTAGAGTTAGAGCCTGCTGCTGTTGTCTTTGAAAAGCTTGCTCTGGATCCATCTGAACTAGAGAAAGCTGAGGATATTGTGAGCGCTTGAAGAAGTAGAAATCTCTAACAAAAGACTCCAAATTGTGAATTTGATCTGAAAATACATTTTGCCAAAAAAACTGTCACTTTAAATACTATAACACTTGAATATTATAACCTTTTAAACATTTTAGCACTTAAATAAACCATTTTAAGAGGCATTGAGTTTTATCTTTAGCACTCTTTATGTTATTTTAGGGGAAATACAGATGAAGTTTAGAAAAATCAAATACAAATTAACATGTCATTTCAGATTATGAAAAGAGTTTCTGTAACTTATTGAATGTGAAGTTTAAATAAAATGTTTTTCTCAAACAATTATTAGAAATTTAGAAATACGTTAACAATCAACACACATAAAAACTCAAAATGAATAACTATTGTTGACAAAAAAATGCTTATTCTGTCATCTAAACTATTTCAAATGCCAGTGCTATTATGGTATGTCCAGGTAAGTCTGAATCAATGTTAGAACAATGGGATATGTCCACTTAACAACAGAAGATGTGTTCAAGATATCAATTAAAGAGTAATGCTAAATCTCTGAATAACTGAGTCATGACATTAAACAGAATAGAGATTGGATACAAAGTGATATACAAAATGCACAGTCTTTATTACAACAAACTTAAATAGTGTATGTACTTGCTTTGTGGAACAACACAGTCTCTTTTACTGGATTCTCTTTTTAAACTGCTTCTCCTTCAAGATCCTGTTCCAGACTAACTAAATCCAACACTCCTTAATCAACAGGGAATGCCACATTTGCCCAGAGTGACTAGTGCTTCTCACATGACTGTTCATCTCATTGGTGAGGCCAAAACCTCTAGATATCACCTGAACAATCACTGAAGGACACTGCTGTTGACATCTTGTATAACATGTGGTAATGCAGCAAAAACTTTCCCTTGCAAGAACATATATTATCTACTACAGAACAATGAAGATAAAAAGAGGATAGAGTGCAATTAACTTAATGCCTTTCTCTAACATATATTATGCAAAATTTGCACATATACAGAACAAAGAATAAATTCAGGATTAATACTACAATATTACAAGAAGAGAGATATGCAAGGAATATACATATACCACACCATTGCAGATACACACAAAAAAGATGAGACAAGTAAAAAAAAAGCATTAGAAGGTTCTAGGAGCATGTAGGACCTTAGAAGATGTGATCATTTGGAGCACTGTGCCTTTATAAAAATTAATACAGTATATCAGAATAATGGCCAAATCTAGTTTGCTCAATAATGCCTAAGGTGAACTACCACACATTTTTATTTGTTATAGGAGAAGGCACAAGACTTCATGCAAGTTTACAAAATTATTACTATAATATGGTGTTTTCTTGTGGTATTGAGTTAAAGATTGAAAAGGTGCTGGACTAATTAGCCACATGATTCTTTTCAGTACATCAAAAATAAAGAATTTCCAGAAAGGAAATACTTTAATCGATTGTCTTCTCTTAGAATTAGTTATGATATCAGGGGTAAGAATGTTATGCTACTGCAAAAATGCTGTGGTCATAAAGAAGGAAGAAGATGTGATTGCCCTTGTTGGTTTATTACTACTTACTTTTTAAATGGTTGTTCCTGTGATGCTAACATGCCACATTCAAACAGAAGTGGTAGGCCTAGCACTATGAAGCCTTCTAAGGCAGTTTCTATGACTAATGCTAGTATTAGTAATGGTAGTTCTATGACTATTGATGTTATAACATGAGTGCAAAAGAACTAAAACAAAATGGAAGAACATATTACTTCTCTATTCAATAAGATAACAAAAGGTAACTATAATATTACTGAGAAACAACCCTTACAGAAAACCCATATCTGGTTCAGATGTATCGAGATCTGGATATGTCCTTCCAAATGTGAGCTAGATCATTACTGATATGGCCTGATTCTTCCAGATCTGAACTAAATCCTAAATCAGGCAAGACTGAGTAAGATCCAAATGAGACTAGGTCTTCAGTTCTCATCAATGAATATATGTATATTAGCAGAGACACACACAAAATATTTGTGGTCAAATTAGTATCTTTATTGCAAAGTACTTCTTTAAAAACATGGTTTCTAGAATAATAAAAATTAATTCTAATTGCAGACACCAAAATCTATAAGTCAACTTGTCTTAGGCCTAATATTAGTTAAGCCTTTATTAAGAATGGCCTATATTCAATAAAAAGAATTTTACACTGTAACTTGTGTATGTTTTTGCTTTAGTTTATTTAGGGCTAAACTTTACCTTACTTAATACTATCAATAGATAAACTTATAAACTTTAAAAACTTTGATAAGATTTTAATATGGTGTTGTACAAAATGTCTCCTAAAGTATATATACACCTGCTTTTTATTTACAACCATTGAAATGAAGTGCACACACACACACACATGTACATTTAGAAAGTAAGGTGTGCATGCACTTTCTGGACAGACAAAACTGAGTATTATTATAACAGAAAATTAATTTGTACTAGCCACGATTTGCAAAACATTTGTGGTAGTTTTCATACCCTTCATTTGAATTTTCCTTATTCTATCATTTTCACACCTGGCATTTAAGCTACACTTTCTTGCAGGCACTATGTGTTAGATTGATAAATCATGGTTTATATTAAAAAATTTACGAATGTAACTTTATTTAACCCTTACGAGATGGGTCACGGTGAAAGGCTATGTCATCTCGTTTGTTGACTTGCATTCAAAATCTTATTGAACCACTATTTCATAAATTTATGTCAATAACTTTGGTATCAAACTGTAGATTATAATTTAAATTTTAGTACTATATATTACTCGTATTCTTAATTTCAACGCAAATATAAAAAAAACAAAGATAAACATCGATTTTTGTATGTTGAATGCAGCACTGGTTCAAATTAGATGTTTTTGAAGTCAAAATACAAAGTCTATAGTTTCGTATGAATTAGAAACTCAAATTATCGATATTGACAAGCTAGAATATAAAATAAGAGCCTCTTATCTTTTCAATTTGTTATGATATTACTCATGTAATAAATCAAACACAGTGGCTCCCCACCCACCTAGTTCCATTTTTGGAAATACTCCCTTATATACACTTACTTCTATATACGACATGAATAACCAATCGGAAGCTCAGAATGTCCCCTAGTGGCTTTCTTAGCCATTTTAACGAGCTTGGTGCCATTTCTTTCTTTTGAACCAATATTTCAACGAGGTAGGGTGCGTCTTTAGTTTGCTCAAAATTTCATATATTTTTAGAGTCAAATACATCTTAGTTACAAAGCTTGATAAATTATAGTGGAATTCTGTGCAAATATTTTAAAGGCTTAGCAACCTACGCCAAGCAGCAACCGAGTACTAGAAGAGATAATTGTTTGCTTTACTTCTTTAGTTACTGTTCTATGTTTTAAGAAAAATAAGTTTAAGAACTTATTTGAAAATATCAATAATCTTTATACATATATAATGTATAATAACTTGAAATTTGACTGTATTTTACAAAATACTAGTCTACTAAAACAAAGCCAAGACAAGTTACTTTGTATAGAACAAAGGTCAGTTTTATGTTATTTGATACAGTAACATAAGTGCACATGAGTTGTGTCATTGTAACTTCTGTATTGTTAGCCAGGCATGGCTGAAAGGTCAATATAATAAACATGAGATATATATATATATATATATATAAAGTATAATGAGACTTAAGCAACTTATTACTAAAC